GACACTATACCAAACAAAGGAGAGGAATTAACAAAAATTACTTTCAGTTCTTGCTTCTCAGCAGTGTTCCGCCAACAAACCAAAGCCTTTATACTTTCATCTTCTGCAATTTCGTCTTTTTCTTCATCATCTCTCGCTATTTTCTCGTATACATCAATAGCGGAAGAAGTTTTAACTGGTTTACTGCTTGACTGTTTTTCTACAATAATATCGCCATTATTTTAAAAAATTATAGCCACATAAACGAAGATATATTCTGATTAAAATTAAATTACTAAAGTAGTCTGAATCTAAAAATTCAGGAATGCCAATCATTTGAAACAAACCTTCGGAAAGCATACACTGAGCCTCGACCAATCCATAAATTCGATCTATACATTCAAGTACTTCTTTCCTGCGTTCTTCAGGCCATCGCTCATTTTTGACAATGTCATAATCATCGTCCTCTGGCAAACTATAAAACTGTTCTGAAACTAATAATGAATGACTCGGAAAACGAATTGTTTTAAATTAATAAATAATACGAATCTGAATAAAGCAATTTGATAATCGTTATTATAAATTTTCAACAGTGTCATAAATCTACAGTGAATTGTATAACTAAATTACTACTAACATACTGAACATCCTCGAATATCATGTATTTAATATATGTATTAGATTTTTATGGACTTTAAACACAAGATTAAATTTTTATGAATCTTCGCTACAGATACGACCATGATGTTTCAATTCTAAGAAAACAAAAAATCACCAAATGCGTAATTCATACACTTGAAACGTCCTTTGTAATATTTGTCGCCTCTCGCATTTGTAAAAAACACTGGCTTTCCTATACCATTTATAAATGCCAAGATTATATTACGTGAACGTACCCGATGCAGTTGCGGAAAACATGCCATATGGTCTCGAAATTTATCCTGAAACAAATATTAGTCAGTATAGATAATGGGTAATGAAGATACTTGTGCTAACAATAAGATGAAGCTGCTTCTAATATTTAATTAATTTTTGATGTACAACCATCAAAGGACCAAGGACTCCAAATCACACTCATTTATTGTTTATTGGAATTACTTAATGGCAATTAATATTCACACCAAAGGAATGCAAATCTAAAACGTGTAAAACTACCTGTGTGATAACAGAACCGCACGCGTCTCTCGCAACCGTAAGAGCAACAAGGTCATCATGCAACATATTCGGCACCACTATTAACAGTTTCAAAGCGTTGAGATCCTTAAAGAAATTGAAGAACGGTGAATTTGAATAACTTCGTGCAAGCTACTGATTTAGTGTAGAAATGCATTATTAATTACTTTCGAGAAAACGGAAAATTACTATAAAGACAAACGATTTAGAAAAGCTACCTTCCAAATACTGAGATTTTTAATGCACTTCCTGTAAATGCAAAATTCAGGCATAACAATTTCGACTGCATGTCCCCGCCTGACAAAATACCGCATAATCGGTAATAACGATAAAAAATCTAACTGCTTCCTGTAATTTTAGTAAATGAAGTAAATGCAGACCATATAAATTTTTTGCATTAATATTTCATTCAATTCAACTGGCAATATGGTACATTTAAAATGAAGCGCAAGAAACTACCATGTCAAATAACTTCCTTAAAGCACTGACAAAATATACACTCAGAAAATATGATACTAGGCATTAGCAGTACAGTACAAGGACCATTTTTCTTTCAAGAACGAAATTACATATAGGGAACATGCAGTCGTATACATAAATTACATATGCATAAATAAACACGTAAGATATTTGACCAACTGAAGAACCTACGGAAGTAAAAAAAGGATAGCAAAAAAAAGCACACTTGTTTCGGCTGCTTATGTACATCATATTCATAGCATCAATGATAAGCAAACGTTTAGCTGCATGCTGTGGTATTTTCCGAAATGAACTAACATTCTCTGCAAGGATAATGAAATAAAATTAACTTATTCATCACGATCATTCATGGTACAGCAGAAGTAAAGGAAGTGAGCTGTTGTACCTGCCGAGAGGATGGCAACTATCACTACCTTGTGCAATCTGTCAAACTTCGACACGTCTTATCCTTCTATATTTTAAAATAGAATTAATTACTTGTTGATGAGTAATCTCTCGAACATCTCGCTAACTCGTCAACTTCCACTCTCTCAGCACACCGCATCATTCCCGTCTCCAAATATTCAAACCTCGAAGTGCCCGCTTCATTTATGGAGCTCCACACCTGAATCTCACGAATATATCGGCGGTCCGTTACTTTTAACCAATACGTGATTGAACGGACGCAAGCTGCTCAGCTTGGAGACGCTGGTTTATTGTATATATTACGTGAGGCATTTCAGGTAATGGTACTGGTAGTATGTTGGTAGTATGGTGACAGATGAGGATTTCTTATTCCAAAATCTTCAATGTTCTGCAATATGTCTTGCAAAGATGAAAAATGTTAGTGATATTTTCACTGAATATGAGATCAACTGATATGAATAACTGAATTTTTGAATTTAATTTGAGTAATTTAAACAAGTAATTTCTGTTGCTTGTTTTTTATCGATTTCAAAATTTCAGTCTTTTCTTTATTTTTTGAATTTATGAAAAAACAAACACGTTAACGGATATAAAAAAAATTATATTTAAATTGTCAAGAAATCATAAGGAAAATGTCGTTATGATGAACCTAATTAATAATGAAAGCCGACGAAAACAAAAAGAGATATTTATTCTATAAAGTGTACTGAAAATGAAGGAATTTTTTAATAGTAGAATACTTAGATGCTAAAGTGATTACAAGGTACTTGGGAATCAGAGAAATAATATGTTATTACCATAGTGATATATCTCAGAATCAACGAGTAAAAGAATATTCTATCATTTTGAGCTTGAATATTTAGGATGATCATTACATATGGACCACAACTTTCATTTAGGCATAGAGTAGCACTTCGGGTGAAAAGTTAAGTAATAAATCATCGCTGCTCTTTGAACATTTCAATAACAAAGCATTAACTTTATGGACCCTGAAGTTCCCGGTATCTTATACTGCTCAGTTTACATAAATCACAACTACGATCTGTTCTTAAGTGAAAGAAGAAGGAGGAGGCGTGCATTATTAGTAAGTTGTAGTACATCTGAAGCCAATACTAAGGTAATGTTGCCCATGCCAAAAATACTGAGCTGCTTTTCTACTCGAGAAATAACATAGCCGACTTATGGAACAGATTTTCGATTACAAAAGTGGTCATGTGAAAAAGTTAATGATGTGGTTGCATCATGTAGAAAGAACTGATAGAAATTGGTGGTAGATTGAAATATTTGGAGAAAAGTTCGGTAGTGGGAAAAGTGTCGCAAAAAAAAGTATCAAAAAGTTTCCTGCAAAATTTTTAGGTATCGGTGAAGAAGGTATTGGAGACTTTACTCGACGGCGTAGACGGAAATGAGAAACCGTTGAATTATAATGCTCGAACGAAGTTGCTTGCAGCTGGAATTTATTTATTGTATGCCGAAGGACGAGTATGCTATGCTGATTGCTTTAATTAATTAAATATGTTAAAAACTATACTATTTTCTCATTACTTTATTTAGTTCTGTTAGTTAAAATGGAATCTTTATTGTGTTCATTAGACTGGACATAATCAGAAGTCGCTGTATCTCGGTTTCACTACATTTTTTTCAGCACGTGAATGATTTACTTCCAATTCTGTTGGAACTCTACCGAAATTTGCCACGATTAAAATGGATTGATGATGGTGTTACAAATCGACAAGATAGTACGTATTATTTGATTTATTGATGTCGTTTTGTGGCGGGTATTGGATTGAGTGACATTAGAGCAATAATAATGTGGGCATGCTTCATTAATGAGTTGTATGAATAACTTTGTTGAATTTGATGGCTTTTTCATTGGTTACACTTTCCCAAATCTTATTTTTCACTCTCATTTTTTGGATTTTTCTGGATGAACGGCAAAATTCTCGTTAATATATCAGCTGAATTTCTTGTTTTAAATACCATCCTCATTTTTAATAATTGATCGTTAGGGAACTGGAAGTGGTCTAATAGCATAGGCGAAGCAGTGAGCAGGTAAATCTTCATTTTTCCATCTCAGCCATCTTATTCCATTCCGACATCACAAGGATAAAGCAATCAAATAGTCACCAAAAGCTGATAAGTTTTTTCTGAAAGACATATGCATATGCATGCATGTTTTCACCGCAGATTTACTTAGTTGTAATGAGGAACTGCGAAAAGACCTGTTACAGGAACAGAATTACTGACCAAATTTCCGAAATACTAATTCATTTAAATAAATGTTAATTGTCTTCCAGATAGTCTTTGAAACGTTTCTAGAAATTCAGAAGCATAATTTTTTTGGATTCAGTACGAGTAGCGATCCGACTTGTAGTGCTGTTATTCTTAGGTTACCGCTACTGACTGATTAATAAATTGAGAAGAAAGCAGTCGGATATGTAATGATAGCCAAATATTTTCATAACTCTTCGCCAAAGCTGCAGATATTTGTCTCCACTTTCCTCATAAATGTCTACGTTTTCTTGTTTAAAATTATAGTCAGTCTTTAGACTTTGTTCAAAAGTATACATGTACATTACAGGTTAGATAAAGCAAAATGAAAAAAAAAATTCAACTTTTCAGTTACTGATTAAACATTAGTGAGAAAATGAGTTACTCATTCACTCAAATTATGGATTCCGCTTTCTTTTTGCGGGTCGAATATACTTTGTAGCGAAGTTTGCATTTCGGGCTTTTTTGGATGGGGCTGCAAATTTTCGTTAGCCATTATACAGGTATGTTTTTTCAGGAGTACCAGTGCAGGAGCAGTTCGGACTGTGTTTTAATACTATTCTTAGTGAGCTTGCTTCAAATTATTCAGATGTGCGTGATGTTATTATCTCTGCACAAATCGAATTGCTTGTGGTCATTTGTGATATTATTGTAAATATTTGTGATCAAGTGCAACCACAATTCCAAACAAAATGTATGTGTTTGCTCTCTGCATCAGTGATTGAATTACAATATTGGATGAAATATAAGTTAATATATAATGAAGTTTATTTTTTTTTGTTTTTCTGTTACTTTACCTATTTTTAGTTTCATTTTGATATTTTTAATTTTCTTTTTTCCTAATTTTTCCTATTTCAGTAATCACTTAACATTAATCTGATATACTTTTAGGCTACCTTATGCGACTTATTTGTTTTATGATTGGATTACTTCGGGCATTCGGACGGTATAGTGGTAATAAGGATCACCCATTGATTTCCACTATTTATCCTGTACCATTCATGATCAGGAACACAGATGCGCGCATTAATCAGATAGATGGAAGTAATAGGTTTGTGACTTATTTTATTTTTACTAAAATTTTCAGAGTGGCTGTACTTACTTCATTTCAAAATGTAAATCTAAGTTCAATAAATATTGTTCAGAGTGGAGGCTCTTCGGTTAACAACCGATTCTGAAAATTTGCTCTGGAATGATGCTATCAATACAGAAAAACAGGACCAGAAAGAACGTTTGCAAAAGATGTTCTCCAAACATGCGAGTAGCTTTGTATTGCCTCCTGTTTTCAGCAGCAGTCTTCCAAAATTCAAATTCACACCTGCCGAATTGAATTCATTCTCTGATATTGTAAGTATGAATCGTTTAAGTAGTGCTGAGATGATATAAGTTTTGTTAATTAATGATTTTAAAGTTTTTTTTAATTTTGTCAAATTGTAGATGGAACGGTTGTTGAGAAGACCACTACTGGATGTCATAGATGCATATGCTACCGATGTATATATGGTAAATAAATTTTATTTTTAATTTTTATCAGTTAACTTTTCTACTTAACTTAATATCAGTTCTTTTCATAATATAATTTTTTTTATTTTTAAATTGAAATAGGAAATTCATATTCAGGCTGGACAGATCAAACGTTTCCCATACAAAACATTATCGGAATGTCTTTCACTGGTTTTTGTAACGGCCGCTAGAGATGCTTATGCACCGTATGATATGTTAAAGCTCGAAAAATCATTAACCCAAAAATTTGCTCGAAGGGTAAAGCTATCATTTTTGTTCGAATAATTTCAAAAATATTTCTGGAATGCTTTATATTAGATTAACCTCTCAAATTTGAGAACTTTTGCACACTGTAGTATCACGGTATCATTTGTTTACAATTGGTATGTAAATTATAATTCGTAAGAAGTGGATCAGTCTGCTTCAGGTGAAGACACTTGCAATAGAACTATATTCGAAGGGAGAAGATTTTCTGAATACGCAGAAATTAAGCGAGGATGAACGAACATCACGTTCTCCACTATTGATTAATCGAGCGAAAATGAATGTTCTTTGCAGCTCGGTTTGTCTTGAACTTATGGTTTGGGCTACATGCGACGAAATCGGTATTTAATTTTTCTTTGAGTAATGAATTTTTACTTTATCTTTGGTCAGTTCTTCCCAGGAAGTACAACTTGACTATTTAGTACAATGCAAAAATAGCTTCTGCTGGACTATTCAACAATGGAATACTTATTTCCTATCCACAGAAGCTTCAAGTCTTCAAAGCATACCGCATGTTGATTAGTTAGTTTCAAAAAGAGTCTACGAAAACTTAACTGATTCGATGTTTAAATGAAACAATTAGATGATTTACGTTACGCTGCTAGTAGAAGCATTATGCCAATTAAAAATATTGTCTTAGAAGTCACTTTAAGCGAAGTGCGTTGATTTAATTCTCTAGATTATTAGTAAAAAGTTAATTGTTGAGGCAGTCGTACATAATCGCAGACATTAAGACACTTCTGAAATTAGTTTTGTAAAACTTCACTTCGTCATAACATATACAGGAATGGATCGCATAGTTATGTATTGGTCGAACTATGTTTTTGTATTTTTTTTAGTATAAGTGTAACAATCTCATAAATTAGTATTTAATCTTCTAAATCATACAACAAAAGAACTTATCAGAAAAATCAGATTTATGTATTTTACAGATGCAGAGTCACTTCATGCTACAATAGACAGTCGGCTTTGGCAGATTCATGGACATCGTCATGCATCAGCCAAAATATCTCTAATAATGATGGCTTTGGAAGCACTTAGCTCACTTGCCGTTAAATTCCCGACAATTGCTGCAACACTGGCGGTTAACAGTCTTAGCCAGTTCTTAGTAGAACCTTCACCTGTTCTTTCAAAATTGGCTATAGATCTTGGCGTAAGTTTTTTCGGCGTATTTTATTGCTAATCAGAATGGCACTAAACTCATTATTTTTTTATGGATATATGGAAAGCTCAGCATTTTGGTACTATAATGAGACGTTATAGTACTCCAGTGTTAGTGAATATTTTCAATATGATTTTATGTTTTGCTTTTGTTACAGGTAATGGAGAAGCGTGTTTTCAATGAGGGAGATAGAAAAGATGAAGAAATGGTAAAAAAAAAGCTAACTTTTGAAAGTATACGGAGATTGGCAATAAACTCGCTTTGCAGGTATTTATTTAAAGTGTCTAATTCGTTAAAAAATGACATGAGTGAATTGAGTCAATTTTCAGGGCGCTAAGATCGGCCATGATAGTCGACAATTCATCTGTACAAGCCTGTCTAACGAATATCTCTTCCAAATTGTTCTTGATTGCGAACAAAGACTCAAATTAGTATGATTCATATTTATTAAATTCATAACCTCCATTTTTTCCAGTACAGTAATGTTCTCCTGACCTGATTAAACAGATTACTCTGTTAAATTTTTCCATTTTCTTCATCGATTAAGCCCTCATTTTTATAAATGTGCAATGATTTTATGTCAGTGAGTGTCATTTCAATAATAATAGGAATATGAATCTGTTACGTTTAGTGACACGGCTTTGGCTTTGGAAAATGCAATGCATATCGTTGGCGGAATTGGTGCTGCGTTAGTTGATATGGAAAATGTTCCGCAACTTGCTTTCAAAGTATTTTTTTTATTCATTATTTATTGATATTTTAACAAACTTTTGGATTGTAAATGACACACAAATTTTTTTCTGTTTCTCACCAGTCAAGTCAGCATCAAAATTTTTAAATAGTTGAAATTTAAAGGATATATACTTTAGATTACTCGAACTAACTGTTATGGGTTTGTTTTAAACAACAAATCATTCATGTCACTAAAATAAATATTTGCCCGAGTTTGATGAATGCAAAAGTTGCTTCCATGCTGAATAACTTTTGAAATATTCAAAGTTTATAGCTTTTCTATGCTTTATCTTGAACGCACATTTCTGTTACTAAGCAAATAATTCATTAATTTTTTTTTTTTTTTGAATGAGCACGATGAACAATTACATGCTTTTTCAGGTTTTTCAACAAGCGTTAACAGAAACATCGACGAATCATGGTGTCATTGTAGCGGAACTGGCTAATATGTGGATAGCTGGCGCGGTATGTTTGCGTATCATTGTTAATCCAATTTTTTCCAAAATTGTTTTTCTGCAAGCTTTTATAAAAAATCCAATATAT